TTAGACAATAGTGATTGGACATGAGACGAGACATCACGCGTATGAAGTCTCGACCCAAGTCCAACCCTTTGAACCATGCAAACTTCGACACCTTAGGGATAATTGAATGTAGCCATCGTCCCAAGCTCGCTTCGCTCCATTGATGTTGCCAGCTAACGAGCGACTGCTGACGATAAATAGAGAAAAATTCACTATAGGCGATTTGTCGATCATAAATGTCGCCTTTCATAGCGCCCACCTTCGCAAGTGAATCCGCCTTCTCCTTGCCCAAAATAGGTAGTACAAAGTCATAAAACATGTTTGAGGATTTAGCTCCAGAAGCTTCTCAAAGTTTTCGATCACCAGTGGGTTCATTACTTCGCAACGGGTGAGGAGCCTCAGAGATAACTCTGAAAAACGGACGGATAGTGGCAACATGCCCGCCAGCACTTCGAGACTCATAGTATGAGTCGAGTGCATGCATCCTAACGCGGTACGAAGACAACGATACTGGATCCGTTCCAGCTTGATGATGTGCGTTTTAGCTGCTGACTGGAAACAAACACTACCATATTCTAGAACCGATAAAATCGTTGTCCGGTACCACGTCAGAAGATCTTGTGGATGAGCTCCCCACCACGTTCCGGTAATTGATCGAAGGAAATTGATCCTTAGTTGGCATTTTCGTCTCAGATACTCAATGTGGGATCTCCAGGTGCATTTGGAATCGAACCAGACCCCGAGATATTTGAAAGACATGGAATGAGTGATCGGCTTACCCAAAAGTTGAAGCTTCGGTAGTGCTGGGCTATGCTTCCTAGAAAAAACGACCAACTCAGTTTTCTCCGTGGAGAATTCGATACCTAGCTGAATAGCCCAAGTAGACAAATTGTCCAAGGCAGTGTTGGGAAAATATCAAAAAATCAAATCTCACCAACGCCCAAGATCACGCTTGATTTTCGTAGACAAAAATCAACAAGCAAACAACTGCGGTTGATTTTGCAAGCTGTGATATCGCAGCTCGGAATATCAAGCTGACAAAACTCACCAGCTGCAAATCTCAACAAACTGTGGTGAGATTGAGTTTCGTGATTTTTCCTTTACACCCGAATGTAACCGAAACTTCCATAACGGCTGGCAGCAGTCACTTCGTGTCTGCCATCGGTGACGAGTAAAAAGAGATAGCAAACTATACTTTCTCTTTCTAAGAAAACGATGTGCAACGGAATCAATTTTGTGTCGAGTCAACTCTCCACTTGATTTTTACACGTTGTGAATAGTCTCGCAATATCAAAGGAGCTTGTAAAATCAATATCAAGCGTGATATTTTGTTCTAATATCACGTGTGATATTGCGAGCGCATGAGAGCGGAAAAATATCAATTGATTTCTGATTTTGCCAACACTGGTCCAAGGTATCCTGTAAGGGTCCTTGCAGGTCAACCTCTTTTGGCCCTGTGATAGCCACTACGCCATCATCTGCAAGTTGTCTCAACGTGCAATTGTCACTAAGACAGTCATCAATTCCTCTGACGTAGAAATTGTACAAAAGAGGGCTTAAACATGAGCCTTGCGGGAGACCCATGTAGCTTAATCGAAAAGCTGTAGAGTTTCCATGAGAAAAGCTCATATGTTTTTCTGACAGCAAATTGTACAAAAAATTATTCATTAATGGAGACAATCCACAAGCATGGAGTTTCTTTGAAAGAACTTCAACGGATACTGAATCAAAAGCCCCCTTGATATCCAAGATCACAGAAGTAATATAATGTATTTTGATGTGTATTTTAATTATATAATAATTAACTATGGAACAACGAATAGAAGATTAGGCATCACATAGATGAACACTAACTAACTCATTTTTTCCTTGTTTCAGGATCATCCTCCGTGGACAAAGCCGAGTCTTATCACTATCAACAAGGCATAAAAAGTAACGAGGACTAAGATGTGTTCCTTTGATTACTGAAAATTCCTGTTCCCCTAGTTTGAAGCAGTCAAGACAAGGAATCGGTGGTAGATCTTACATCCCGTAACGTACCACGAAAAGGTGATCTACCCACGTTACGGAGCACAACTACTATTAACTGGCTGTTTTATTTCGTCAGGTTCATCGACCAATCAATGGATCGACGAAACACTATCGACAAAATAATCATTTAATTAAGATGCAATTACTTGTTTTGACTGTTCTAATGTGCCATTGAAAGTGATGGACCGTGGTTTGCAATTACTAGGTTTTAATAAAGATTTCAAAATTTTCCATAACTCTTTGCTGTTGTTTTGATGCTGATCAATCTTAATTTTAACATATTCACAACGAGTTTTCTTTATCGATTATGAATACTTATTACGCGCGATTGTGTACCTACTCCAGTCATTGTCATTATTTGATCTACAAAACTTTTTAAACCATTTATCTCTTTTGCGTTTAAGACGCAACAGATCCAAATTATACCAGCTGTTTGATTTCTTCAAAGAAACAAACTTTTGCTCAACTAGGTTAACTGGTACACGTTTTCAAAGCGTTATTAAGAACAGCTGTAGATTAATCTAAGTTATCAGCCGCGATTGGAAAATCCACGCTCCTCTCAACAAGATTCGAAACAGCCAGTTTCGAATATTTCCTCCAGCACTTCAATTTTACAAAATTATCGTTAACGTTAACATGGTCTAAGACATTAATCACTAAGGTCTCATGATCGGTTATTTTCAAATCAGTATCCATAACTGAACAAATGGAATCAAAATTAGAATAAACGTGGTCAATTAAAGTTCTACTGTGCCTGGAAGTACGCGTATACTCATTTACCGTTTGCTTTAAATTGAAAAAACTCAGCTAAACGCTTCAAATGATTCGAATTATGGTTTTCACGCCATTTACTAGAATCAAGGAACGTCTCGAGCCAGTTCTCTAAAATTTCAACAAAACGCTGTTCACTAGAACTGGGAGAATGATACAAAACACCATAATTACCCATCTTGATGCCACGTACAACTGTAATGCCCAAGAACCAGTTGCCATCAATAACTTCGTTGGTCCGAAGGTTGAATTGAACTGATTCTTTGACATAAATAGCAACACCGCCAGTGTGTCTAGAATGTGATAAACAAGCAGCAACAATATATCCCGGAATACTATACTGATCAAAAGCTTCGTTTTCTACAATATGAGTTTCAGATAAGAAAACTAAAAGAGGACGTTTTTCCTCAACAATCTAACGTAATGCTACGTAGTTTGTTGACAACCCCGCAATATTCAAGTATAAAAAATCGAATTGATTCACATTCCTGGCACTTGGCTGCTATTTATTGAAACGCAAGCTGCTTTTCTTCTGATCAAAAAGTCATTCATAGAGCAAACATTCAGAGCTAAATGTGACATGGTTGACGTCCAAGTTCATTTTACGTTCTTTATTCATTTTCAAACAATTAATACATTTCAATACAGTTGACGTACACTACGACGTTTTGTGTTGTTGGCTGTTCCTAGAGCATATTTCACAATTTTTGCAATCCATGCTCTTGTGCCCAAATTCTCCACATTTGAAGCATCTCAACACATTAATCGCGAGAACTATCGAGCACCGATCAAACCCTACATTTACTTTTTTTGCACATAACAAACATTTATACGTATCGACATCGACTTCAATTACAACACTAAACTTGTTGTAAGTGAAGCGTGGATTTTCAAACATGTTCACTACTTTAACATCATTTATAGCGATGTCTTCATTTTGACTTTTTAAGTAGTCAATGAAAACATCGGAGGAAAACTGATCGCTCATGCCTACTATTTTCATTCTTGGCATCGAAGTGGGAACAACAGCACTATAGTTTTCACCCAGATTGTATTCCATCTCGTCTTGCTCATTCCAACCAAACTTAATTAGCCTTTATGGTTAAACATTAATTTAATAAATACAAAAATACTCAAATCCCATTCGAAACCTAATCCAACAGTCAGCCATATGGCCAAACGACACATGCTAATGTCTCCATTTCCGCTAACTACTCCGTTGTATTCACGCCAATCCATATCCGACGACATTCATCGTCATCAACCGTATCACCGTCAAATCTTACCCCCTTAGAGCATTAAGTTTTTGCAGCTTCACGCATATCGGTGAAAAACGATCTTCCGCAGTCTTCCTACCGCTTTGAAGCGACGCGACGGTGTGGTGGAATGGTGCAACTGCGTTGATTGCGGAGTTTAGAGCCCCATCTGTCCGCGCAAATCGATGTCGTAACCGCTCCGCACACATTCAGCTTCACATCGACACACGTTGACATCCTGAGCGATTTTTTTTTTCTCTCCTTCAACGGCCAGGTCCAAAGTTGAACGCGATAACTTATCGCGTAATGTCGCAAAATAGGAATCACTGCATATCGCGAGCGGTTACGACAAAAAAAAACGAAACAGATCGCACAAATAATCCACATCGGATCGTGTGAAATTATTTTTCCTCGCTTTTCTTTGGTTGTTGGATGGAAGAAGAAAAAAAAGCAGACCCTCAAGCCAAACTCACTATCTACCAACATCTGTCCGGCAGTCTCGGAATCAGAATCCGGGTTGACGTATGGGATGCATGTCGGTCCATAGCCGGTGCAGGGAGAAAAAAAAGACAAACAAGAGTGAAATAATTTATCGTGATCAATTTCCTGATGCAGATTTTTCTCCTTTACCGTACGTAAGGTAGCATGATATGCTTGATATTCATACGTTGATCCGGGCGACCAAAGGCATGTATGGACAGCGATTGGACCAGTTTTGGAATTATCCAGTACACATTTTCGCTCGAGTTTATCCCTCATAACAGCCCAGAGGAAAACAATTTTCAGTAATGATGAAAAAAATGCGTGCCAGGAAATGTGTTGTTGAATTTGTCACGTTAGCACGCACATTGTCACTTAGTGACTCGCTTATATGAGATTGAGCTAGGGATTTCTCTTTATTGGAACATTAGCTAAGCGAACTTTTCTGGTCTGTGATATGAAAATAGTGTAAAACATACAGCATACCGTGCAAATCACTTCAGCTTCAACAATTTAATCAACTCAACACTCTCCTCCTCAGTAGTGACACCTACCACCGAAAGTAGCTATCATTATCAGTGCACTCCCTCGCCGAGCCACACCACTGCGTTTCCATCAGGTGGGGACACTCCTGACCTTGATCCTTCGAGTGCTTCACTATGACCCGAGTGCGGGTCCTCTTACCCAATCCACACAGCTGGCTACAGGCGCTCCACTCGGACCACTTGCTAACCTCGCAATCGTTGATCTGTTTGACGGTTTCGTTTTCTTGCTTCCTGTTGAACAAAGCCAACTTCTTCAGCAACCTCTTGCGTTGTTTGTTCTTCAGTTTCTTCATCTTCTTCTGTACATTGTTGGATCCGTGGTACTCATGAACCTGGTGTGAAAGACATACAAGATTAGTAAAGTAAAATTTGCATGACAATTCAGCAGAATTACCTTTGTGAATGAAACTTGCGCAATGACTGGGAGGTGTTTGATTTCCGGATAGAAGAAGCTACTGGCAAAGTGTTTCGGATACCGGGCTGTGATCTTCTCGATCACACCGGATGGATTCGTTGGCCATTTTGGTGAAGTGAAGGTCAATCCATTGCTGGTTCCAGCATCCAGAGGGTGCAAATCGACGGTCACGTCGTCAAGCCAATTCCCATCCGAGCAGAGCTGAAATTGTATATATTACCAGAACATTCTTCTATAAAAGTAACTTGTCCCGCTGTACGATCTACTCACATTGTACGAGTCCAGTCCGACGAACCAATCCGGTGAGGGGACGATCTTGGTGATGAAGGAAATTTTGTGATGGCGGCCATCAACGAAGAATGTTCCCTGGGTAGAGCCAGCACCTTTGGTAATTTTCGGCAAATGGAACTCATCGTAGATAATGGCATTTTGACGGGCCAACTCCTCCTGCAAGGTGTGCGCATGGGCAGATTCGGCGAAAGCTTGAACCGCCGGCGACGCATATTCGTTCATTCGGAACAAATGGAACGAGTCGTTGTGGGATTGGCCTGAGAGCAGGGAAAATAAATTCAAACAAAAGAAAACAATTAACTCCAACGGGTTCCAACGGTATGCAAATCAGTACCAACAAACGTAATAACCTAAAGCCACCCTGACCTGCCCCAAGAAAGCTTTTAAAGGCTGACTAAAAGTAAATGGGTACGCCCCTCGCGCGCCGCTAGCACGCCTCTACACGGTAACCTCAAAATACCCAATAATGACTACAAAGTAAGTATTTTCGAGGAAGATTGGGACTACCCATTAAATGAGTATGTTTACTATGTTTACACATAAATCGGGCGTGACGATTTTTCAGAGTGTGGAAAATTCGGAGTGGTCCGGTACCAAGCTGGTTAAATTGCTGAAGATGCCGAAAACAACAGTTTGTCGAGTGCTTAAAACCTACAAGGTAACCCTTAATGTGGAAAGGAATCAGCGGATCCACGCAGCAAGGCGTTGAGGTGCGTTAAGCCAACCCCGGTCTTTTGATCCGAGATGTGGCCAGAAGGTACAACGCCAACTTTCAAACGGCGCGGAACATCCTTGCCAGGGAAGGATACAAGTCGTACAAATCCAGTAAACATCCTAAACGGCACATTAAATAGAATTCCGTAGCCAAAAAGCGTGCAAGGTTCTTGTACGACCGTTTTTTGACGAAACACAAGGGCTGCACTTTGATCGATGACGAAACATACCTCAAACTCGATTTTAAGCAGCTTCCCGGTCAAAAGTTTTATATCGCGACTTGACGTGGGGATGTGCCGGGAAGATTCAAGTTCGTGTTTGCCGACAAGTTCGCGAAGAAAGGCAAGCGATTTGCAGTTGTGGCCTGAAAACGGAACCATTTGTCACATCCTCGACGATGACATCCCAAGTTTACATCGAAGAATGCCTGAAAAAGCGTGTATTGCCGTTCATCCGCAAGCACAGGGGCAAAGTCATCTTTTGGTCCGATTTGGTCAGCTGCCACTACTCCAAGGTGGTTCTGGAGTGGTATTCTGCCAACAAGATCGATTTTGTCCCCAAGCTAATGAATCCTCCGAATTACCCGGAATTTCGAACAATCGAAAAATACTGGGCAATTTCAAAGCAGCGGCTTCGACGAAGCGGCGGGGCAGTCATGGACATCCAGCAAAATGGAAGAAATGCGCTGATTCCGTGCCCGTTTTCACTGTGCGGGCTCCGTCAAGAGTAAGGTTCGAGATTTCATTCGAACTGGAGAAATGTAACCATCTAATGCTGTAACTTTGAAGTTTTAATAAAAAATACTGTAAAGCAACCATTAATGGACTGTTAAAACTTATTGAATCACGAATCACAGGTCTTTTTGTGCGTACCAATTTACTTGTAGTCAGCCTTTACAATTCCGAGTTGGTGCGTGCGCATTACTGGATGGTTGGTCACGTGCTCCACCGCACAGCTTAACTTCCATAAATCCATCCGTTGTGGTGAATGGTCTCGGCTCTTGGAGGCAGGTAATGTAATACCCACGCCTAATGGACTTGGCCAATGCAATCCACCGTTAATTCATTTCGACTTACCGCAGCTGCCAAGGGGTAACAAAATAAGTGCGTCCAATTCCAAACTTTGAGTGTGAGCGTATGGTGCCAAACGGTGCACAACATTGAATTAACGAATGGCAATAAGTAACAGTGAGCTGGCTCGCGGAATAGTCGTAATAGAGTAGAGTGAGAGGTGAAGTTTGATTATTTAGAGTGAGGAGGCGCACGTGCCATTCCTCTGTTGACACGAGGGATCAAGTTGAATGGAAGATCGTTTTGTGGGTGGTACAGTGGAGTCATTTGAATATAGATGTCAAGGCGATAACGAATCCTGTTATATCACAAGATGATGGATCTTTACAATCGGATAGTTACATCCTTTGATTTCGACTCAACTGATTCGTATTATAATTCGTGGGTGCAACTCGCGGCCAAACTAGTAACTGGACCCGTTGAGTTTGAACTGAATGCAATTGAATTTTCTACAGAATCTGTTTCTGAATTTCAGTACGAGAAAAAGTGTAACCATGATCATACAAGTTTACCACAAGTCCCTTACCCGAGTAGGCACCAGAAGTTTCATGAGGTAGAACAAAGCAGTCCTCATCATCGTTTGTTTAGTTAACCCCAATGTCTGAATAATATTGATAAAAAATATAAAAGAGCTAAATGCATGATTATATTAAAATAACCTCTTACCATTTTTTAATTTACGATCTGCTTCTGGTAAATATGATCATTCACCATTACCGTTCACTACAAATTCCAAGATAACACTTTGAAATTGTTGAAGCGGTTCTGTAAAAATAGTCCTTCGGTTTTGTCTTTAAGTAACTTCCGGAAATTGAACAAAGTGAGCCATGCCAAAAATCTTTCTGCATGTTGTTCAAAAATCTTGACAGTTGATCTAAATGCAATCCCAGTTTGATATATTTCAGTTGAAGTTGACTATCATGCTCAATAGTTTGACTTGATACATTCTAAGTTGTTTCATCCACTCCTACGCACCCGGTAGAACTTTCAAGTGTTTTAAAGCGTTTGTAGGCGAGGAACTGAAATCGATCATATTTTCGTCCATAAATGTTAAATGCCTCTTTCAAACAGTCTATTGAATTTGTGAAATTGTCCAGAGCCGTTTTCAGAAGTTTGGCAAAGTTCGACTTTGTGACTCTATCAGAATCACTAGCTAGGTGAAATTGCCTAAGAACCTTGCACCAAATGTTCTTGAATGGGCCAAAAAATAGTCGGTCTAGTGGTTGGAGAATTCTCGTGGAATTAGATAAGGAGAAATCAGTATTATCTGATTTTGTGGGCAAAACTCAGCTAGCTAAATACTGATATGGCTTTTGTGGCCATCCACAAAAAAACGACTACAGGGAACTCAGTTTTAATCTCAACCAGCGATTTGAAAAGATCATTTGCGACATACTCGTAAAAGGTTTTACCTGTTTGTCATACCATCAGCGTTATTTCCGTGAAACTCTCTTTATCGGAGTTAGTATTTACGATACAGGAATTCTCAGCATCACGGTCGTAAAGAGCTTTGGACGGTTTTGGAACTAGCTGGAATCCTGATTCATCAACATTCAAGATTCGTTTTGGATTATCAAAAATTGAACGGTTAAGGGCAAAATGCCCTTAATTTCCAAAACCACACACGAATCAAATCCTCAGTTACCTTGGCTCCTGATCTTGAGATGATCGTAGTAGATTTATTTTCAATCAAAGGGTGTCTTTGCAAGAAACGGCACGCCCAATTTTTACCTGAAATAATCATGATAAATTTATATTGATTAAGATTCATGAAAACTAATAATCAGTTCCAAATTGCAGTAGCTCACTTGAAAATGAAGTTGGTAAATTGCGAGTTTGTCTGATTTCATCAGCGTAGTCTTTGAATCAGTTTCGCTTATGGGGAAACCAGCTTTGGACATGTTAAGTGTCCACCGTTCGAAGCGAGCTTCTTCATCTGGCCACAATAGTTTTGAGGGTCCAGGCTTGACGTTCTTCGGAGGAGTCTTTAAGTGACGTTGAACCGTAGTAAATGGGGATAGGAGAAATTTTCCCTCAACCTGATACTGGTGTTAGTATGGTGTACCAATTACACCAAACCGATGATCAAATGCATTTTTTACTAAAGTTGATACGTCCCTTTAGAAAATTAATCTTGAAATAGTGTAGCTTGAACTTTAGGTAGATCTGCATTGATTTTCAAGAGATAAATCTTACAATCACACTTTTTCTCAGAAATCCTAATAGTTCTAATAAGGGATGGGCCATCGAGTTTTCAAACGGGACTTCAGCTGCCATAGGATTAAATCCAAACTATGAGCAGTTATGGAGCAGATTCGTAATCAGGAGGGGCCCTAAAATTTAACCTAATCTAATCATTGTAACAAGCTTTGATGTATTGATAAATATAAATATGTATGTCTCCATGGAGAACATGCATAGGCCAATTCCATCCCAAAGCGTTATTGGGGTTGACAGCACCCTCTCAGATTTCAATGAAACACCTGGATTTTTTTTATATAGTTTGTTTATTTCTCCAGGCTCATGCGCGGCAGCTCTACGGAGCCGAATTTCTGATTTTGTTTGACAATTACTTAAAACTAAAGTTAGTAGAGCGGGGGCGATTACTCGCGGTTTGCTCGAGGTTAAGGCGTACAAACTGTAGTAGATTACAATCAATCTGGTTTAGTTTGGGACTCTTCAAGAAACGGTCAACCAACAGTAGATGTTTTGCAATCCAACATCTCTGTCGCTTGTGCTGCATTACTCGACGGATTTAGTCTGCATGGCCTAACACAAATCAAAACAATCGACAACCGAAATGGTCGCCTCTTGGATCTAGCTCTGGTGAATGATACGACACTTGAAAGATGCTCGATATCAGCGGCTATGGAACCTTTCACCCTCCGTTAACAGTCGAAGTCAAGGTTTCTAGAGGTTTCGATTTTGAGGACTTTCCCGAAGATCCAGGTTATGATTTTTGCAGGGCAGATTTCGAAGGAATGGTGGATGTACTTTCCCATACAGACTGGGCACAGTTGGATACTTCTGGAGATGTGGACGATGCTGTTGATCGCTTCACTCGGATTATGCATAACATCATTGCTCATCATGTTCCTTTGCGTAGGCCTAGCCCGAAACGAGCTTGGGGAAATCCACATCTGCGACAGATATCGGACATACAATTGCTTCTTGTACAAACGCTACATTCTACGTATGCAAGACAATCTTAGGAGAAACCCAAAGAATTTTTGGAAATTTGTCAACTCCAAGCAAAAGGATAATGGATTACCTGTTGAAATGTTTTTTTGGCAATCATTTCACCAGTACCTCATCTGATAAGTGCGAGCAATTCGCTAATCACTTCAAGGGTGCCTTCAATGGTTCTACGTCATCACCAGCTCAAGTCGAAAATGCTTGCAGAGACACGCCCCGCAACGTCTGTTAATTGGGAAATTGCCAAAATTCTTTCCAACAGGTTAAATCTGCCATCGATAAATTGAAATACTCCACATCACCTAGCCATGATGGTATTCCGTCATGTATCTTGAAGAGATGTTGTGATGCTATGATTAACCCTCTGACTCAACTGTGCAACATTTCCTTGTGTGAGCGTAAATTTCCCTCGAGCTGGATAACTTCCATTATGTTTCCACTTCACAAAAAGGGCGATAAGCGTAACATTGAGAACTATCGTGGAATAACTTCAGTCGAAGTTTTTTTTTAGATCATAATCAACGACGTGCTGTTCACCTCCTGCAGGAATTATATTCCTACAGATCAACACGGATTCTATCCCAAGAGATCGGCATCTACGAACCTCGTCCAGTTCACTTCGTTTTGCTTGCGTAAAATGGATCTTGGCACACAAGTTGATGCAGTGTACACCGACCTAAAATCTGCTTTTGACCGAGTTGATTATGAGATTTTGCTTGAACGACTTGAAAGTCTCGGTGTTTCTTCAAACTTGACCTGCTGGTTTAGATCATATCTTACGGACCGGAGACTCATTGTGAAGATTAGACGTGAATGTTCTGCACCGTTCACCAACATATCAGGTGTGCCACAGGGGAGCAACCTGGGTCCCCTGCTATTCTCAATTTTCATCAATGAGTTATGTAAAGTACTGCCCCTGGCTGCCGCTTATTCTATACTGATGACGTCAAAATTTACATGGTAGTGAAATGTCTTCAGGGCTGTGTCGCATTACAACAATTAATAGACCGTTTCGCTGAGTGGTGCTCCAGAAATAAGCGTTCACAAATGCAACGTTATCTCGTTCCACAGAAAACAGAAGCCAATCATACATGACTACAACATCGCCCAGCAGCCTCTTGAGCGTGTTTATCAAGTACGGGATTTAGGAGTTATCTGAGTCTTGTGGGCTCCCTCTGTTCTGAGTCTAGAAGACTTACTTTCTCCTGAGTCTAGTAGACTCACTCTGTTCTGAGTCTTGTAGACTCATTCTGTTCAGAGTCTTGTAGACTCACTTTGTTCTGAGTCTAGTAGACTAACTCTGTTCTGAGTCTTGTGTACTCACTCTGTACAGAGTCTTGTAGACTCACTCTGTTCAGAGTCTTGTAGATTCACTCTGTTCAGAGTCGTGTAGACTCACTCTGTTCAGAGTCTTGTAAACTCACTATGTTCTGAGTCTAGAAGACTTACTCTGTCCTGAGTCTAGTAGACTCACTATGTTCTGAGTCTTGTAGACTCATGCTGTTCAGAGACTTGTAGACTCACTCTGTTCTGAGTCTTGTAGGCTCACTCTGTTTTGAATCTTGTAGGCTCACTCTGTTATGAATCTTGTAGACTCACTCTGTTCAGAGTCTTGTAGGCTCATTCTGCTTAGAGTCTTGTGGACTTACTCTGTCCTGAGTCTAGTAGACTCACTCTGTTCAGAGTTTTGTAGACTCACTCTGTTCAGAGTCTTGTAGACTCACTCTGTTCTGAGTCTTGTAGACTCTGTTCAGAGTCTTGTAGATTATGTTTTATGTCGTATCGAGTATTTAAGATTATGTTCTATAGACCCTGTTTTGATACGTATAAATTGTGAACAGAGTCTTGAAGAACAAAACATTGTTAAAACCCATAAGCATTATATTGCGATAGAAACGCGATTAATTTTGATAGACTCCGCTTCCTTTAAATGTCATACAGAATTCCTGCATAGCATTGTAGATTATCAGGGCCAATTTCTTCACCCACGCTTAAGCCTTAATCCAGATTTAACTATAAGAGTAAACCTTGTTTAAAATGTAAGCGAAAGTGAAGCAATTGACCCTTAGCCTTTTCAGTTGTTCACTTCACTCAACCGATCCGTTTTCCAGGTCCTCACGGCCAACATCGCTACCCTGCTGGATCTGTACGGCGTAGAGCGGGGACTCGATCACTACCGGTCAACACCGACGCTGAACTTTGACCACTATCTGTACTACCTCGGTCAGGAGGTATTCTCCTCTGTGTCCAACGAGCTACCTCTGTCGGCCGTCCGGAACTACGAAGGCAAAATCGATGAGGTTAGTATTTCCTGATCTGCCAACCCAAACGCGTCACTAACGCCGCATTGTTCTAGGTCTGCTGGTTGGTGTGTCACAAGGACTTCCTGCTGAAGGATGCCTACTTCATGGAGGAAGCCATCTATCAGTTGTTCAGAATATTCTGCATGATGGCCGACTTGTACAACGACAACGCCGATGACAATCAGTTCACGGTCAAGATCCACCCGTCGGAAGCGCTGATCGTGGTCAAGCAACTGCTGAATTCGCTGGGGCTGGACTACAACAACGAGGAAAAGTATGACTATTTGAAGAAATGGGATGATGGGCTGGATTTTGGAGAATTCTTGGCCATTCTGAGATTTAAGGACTTTGTTAAGTTGAACGACTACGCGGCATCGATCTGCGAGGCGATCAGAGATATCTACCAGACGCTGATCATGGATGTGATCAAGAAGGGTTATCTGTTCAGGAGGGGCTACGTGCTGCCGACATTTCGGGAGTACTTTTTCGTGCTTCAGCCTTGCGAGTTGACGTACTACAAACATCACACGGACCGGGAGGTATGCGGGACGATAGCGCTGGATTCGAAATTTACCGTGAAGCCCTTCATACCGTCATCGGGCAAGACTGAACGCGTTCCAAAATTCACCTTGGTCTCAGGTGATCGCACGTATGAATTGGGAGCGCAAGATCACAAGACACGGCTCCAGTGGATATCGGTCCTACAGTTGGCCATAACGTACTCCACGGGTCGAGAGGGCTTCCAACGGGATACAGTCAACATCCTTGATTCTGCGCTAACCTTCCGTTTACATTACAACGATATTATCTCCAGAGCTAACCGACAGCTTGGATTCATCTTCAAAATAGCCAACGTATTCCGTGACCCTCTCTGCCTTCGTTCGTTATATTGTGCTCTGATACGATCGATACTGGAATCAAATGCTGTAGTTTGGTGCCCGTATCAATTAACGTGGATTGCTAGGATCGAAGCGATCCAAAGGAAATTTGTAAGGTACGCCCTTCGTGATCTTCCATGGCGAGATCCGCTCAATCTGCCACAGTGCGAGGACCGCTGTAGACTGCTGGGTATTGTAACTCTAGACGATCCACTGCGCAAGCGATATTGGTGGCTAAAATCCTTTAAGGAGACACGGATTCACCTGATATCCTGGCCCAGTTGAATATTTACGCTCCAGAACGAATCCTTCGCCAATGTGGTTTTTTTGAGGCTCAGCATGATCCCATCCGTTTCATGTCGGCTAGCTTCAACCAGATGTATTTACTGTTCGACTTCAACGCTTCTGCCGCTACATTTAAGCGCCGACTCTCGGATAGACGGTAGAATAATAAATGCACTCAACATTTCATAATCCAATGATCGTTCAATTTGGGAAATTGGTGAGTAACTGTCCAATTTCATTTGACTGATAGAGTTATGCTACTTGTTTTTTTTTTGGTCTTGGTTTGTATCATCTTCTCGACGAGCACTTCACCGAGCATCCGACAACTCCATGAACAAGGATGATTACTTTTTATGCTACTTATTGTACTTTTATGCTCATTTTGTTCTGTTGTATGTATTATTTGTACGCGAGATGAAAAGATATGGGCTTTTGCGCCTGCATGAGATCGGCTAATTTTTGTAGCCGAGTCATTCAGGCTTTTCCCCATCAAACTTCATAAAGACTGTTAGTCAGATGAAGAATAATAATAATAAACAATAACAATAATAAACAAATGGTAAACAAGATGATGGAGGACTAAGGAGTAGGAACACGAGGTTTGCAGATGCAATGTGGTGGTTGATAGACCTGTGCGCCGGCGCGGCACACATCGCCGCCGACGATTTTCATACACCGCCACTGCCGATGAAATTGAGCCGGCGCGCCGCCGCAGTAAAATCTTTCACGCCACCGCATAAATTTATGTCACGTCGATGAAAAATCTGTAGCACCTTTTAGGTAAAATGTATCATAAACGCGTTGAAATTAGAACATGTGTGTTGTCATTTAGTTTTTTGACGTTTGTTCGCACTTTCTCGATCTAGCACACAGCAATGAATCACTCGGATCAGATTTACATAAAGCTGAGTAAGTGATACGTTGATATTTGAGCTTTTTTTTTGAATCCGTTAAAAAGTTATATGACTACAATGCTTGAACATTCAAATATGTATCAGAGTAATACAAGCATATCATTTATAACTATCAATATGTTAATAACGTGTAATTCCTAGGGCCCATTAAAATATTACGTAAAGCAACAGATTGCTACATAACGTTCTTTTCTTATACTTAATACTTTGACATACGATTCCACCAACAAGCACTTGACAAACTTTTCTAAACAAATTCCGCATGCACGGCTCATACTTGAGATCAGGTTACTTAAATTCGCGAAAACGTAGGTCACTCATAGAATGAGTAAAATTTCCGACGGTTTTCCGAGGAAAACTTGACGAATAAAGGGCGTCCACGATGAAATTGCCACACTATGAAATTGCTCTAACTTTTTCACCGTTGGGTAGAATTTAATGAAAATTTGGGTGGATTTAGTTCATAGTGCATTATTTACATCCTGCAAGCTTTAAAGTCCTGTGATCAAAACTCGCGGAAATGGAGTCGAAAGAACAGCTCGTGCGTGATAAAATCTTGCGCATTCATCACGAGAACAAGGATCTCTCGCATCGTTCCATCGCTAAAACGTTGGGAATCGCGAATTCCACGGTGTCGCGAGTGATTAAGCGGTTCGAGGAACGGTTGACCACCGATCGGAAGCCCAGAAGTGAAGGAAAAAGTATTCCGTACAACACCAAAAATCACAACCGCGTAGTTGGGGCCTTCAACCGAAATCCGAACGCCTCCGTTAGGGATGTGGCTAAGAAGCTGCACCTAAGCCGAAGTTTTGTCCAGAAGGCCAAAACTAAGGCTGGGCTTCGAACGTTCAAGGTACAAAAGGCCCCTAATCGCGACGAGAAGCAGAACAAGTCCGCCAAAACCCGTGTCAGGAAGTTGTACCTCAACATGCTGACGAAATTTGAATGCTGCATCATGGACGACGAAACATATGTGAAGGCCGACTTCAAACAGATCCCCGGCAACCTGTTTTTCACGGCCAAGGATAAGTTCAGCGTTCCGGAGCATGTCCGCACTCAGAAGATGTCCAAATTTGCGAAGAAATTCCTGGTTTGGCAAGCCATCTGCACGTGCGGGAAGCGGAGTGCACCTTTCGTGACCCAGGACACGATGAACGGACAGGTGTACATAAAAGAGTGCCTCCAGAAGCGGCTGCTTCCTCTCCTGAAGGCCCACAACGTCCCAACAATCTTCTGGCCGGATTTGGCCTCATGCCACTACTCCAAGGACGTGATGAAGTGGTATGCGGACAATAAGGTCAATTTCGTGCCGAAAATGTTCAACCCTCCCAACACTCCGGAGCTCCGCTCCATCGAGAAGTACTGGGCGATTATGAAGCAGCACCTTCTTAAACGACCTAAGGTAGTGAAGACAGTCGAGGAACTGAAGAAAGTATGGGTTTACATGCAAAAAACGGTTGATTCACAGGTTGTGCAGAATCTTATGGCCGGGGTTAAGGCCAAGGTGCGGGCATTTGCGTATGGACTGTAAATAAAATACGAGTAAAATGGTAAAATGAAGTTTAATAGTTATTTCTCAATCCCTGAAAATTTGATGGCAATCGGATGAAAACTCGAATTTTGCGAATCAATTTTGTGTGTGGCAATTTCATCGTGGACACCCTTTATGAGAAAAACTGATTGAAGTTTTAGTCGGTCTACTAGTACACTTCTAACCTCGATTCTCTCCAGCAAAAAAAGCAAACGAAGTCGAGTATGAGAGGAAATGAGCGCTTCTTGTTCGCTTTTAGCTTATCAATATTCCGAAGCTTGAAGAAAGCAGTGAAGAAAGCTCAGGTCTGATAATCTCTACTCGCTAGATGCTCATCTCAATAGAATAAACCTCGTGGACAGCAACATCTGTCGGTGTGGAAACGGTTACGATGACATCGATCACGCAGTTTGGCAATGTACGGATAATTACGCTGCCAGAGAGCGACCTTTGAATACCCTTGAGGCCCAAGGAAGACAACCCTATGTTCCTATCAGATACGTGTTGGGAGCTCGCGATATCTGCTATGTGCAGTCGGTTAACGTGTTTCTTCAAATGTCTAGTATAAGAATTTAATTCCTTTGTCTTTTGTCTCTCTTTAATAATTTTTGTTTGTCTTGTCCCCCCGTCTCGATGAGTCTCATCGTCGCCCACTGGTCATCATAGCCGGTCGAACTCCAGACGAAACTAGAACCGCACTACCATTCATACTGGCGACAACGCTCTGATGTGACAACGAAACCTTACCCCCAAGTTCCTCCCCTGATCCTATCCTTCGACAATGTACCTCTCTAACCTCGAGTAAGCCGCGAGTATTCAACCCAACTACTACTAGACATTGAATTAAGTGAATTTTATAACAAACAAAGTACAATGAACTATCGGCTCCGTAAAGCTAACGCGATTGAGCCTTCCAAATAAACGAACTAGATAAAAAAGGTCTGATAATCTCAACGTTCGTGGTTCGAGTCCCCCAGTTGGCAACCTTTTTTTTTGACATGATTAATTTCACTCACTAATACACTCCACATTCTTCTTTCTCCATTTCCATGCATTGGACCGCAGCTCGGTATATCGCATCCTCAGTTCATGCGGTCTCCACTAACATCATCCGATGATGAATCTCACATAATTGTAAGCGAATCTTACATCTCCGGTTGGGTTTATAAATAAAGCTCATGTAGTCGAGATCCCGACTCGCCAAGACATCTCTAACAGGTACCGCGGGCTCTTTTCCTCGGACCCTGAGGGATTCAGATAACTCAGATCTAACAACACGATGTAAGGCACATGACCAAACAACGCGCTCGATATCGAATTGCTGCCTGAGAGCCCAATTCGATACAAATGCGAGTCTAACGAACAGTGATTGGACATCAGCCTGGACATAACTTGTATAAAGTCACGGCTCATGTTCAACCCTTTGAACCATGGTTTGTTCGACACCTGTGGGAGAATAGATTGTAATCGTGTTCCCAAATCGCCATCATTCCACTTTTGTTGCCAGTTGATGAGGACTTGCTGACGAGCAATTGAGAAAAAAAAATCGTTGAAGGCGATTTGACGCTCATAAGTATCGCCTTTCATAGCGCCCACCTTATCCAGCGAGTCCGCTTTCTCAATACCCGGAATTGAGTAAAGAGATGGCACCCAAACTAAGGTGATAGTATAGGAGCAATTAGATAGTATTTCAAACAGGAAATACTGAAAATGAAATCTCGGCTACTTTTTCGAAGGGACCCTTCGACGCTCAGCTTTTGTAAACAATGTATGTGATCATCGGTTTGGCGTAACTGATGACTCGCCCAAGCATTCTAACATCACTCTCAGGTAGGGAAAAATGTTCCCTATCTGATGATAGTGTAAGCATGCGTGGGTGAGCTACCAGTTACGCCAAATCGACGGTCAAATGCATTGTTTTCAAAAGCTGATACGTCCCTTCGAAAAAGTAATCGAGAAATAACGGTCAGAGGGAAGTGCAATTTGCTCTACTGCTTAAAATATGGCTGCTAGTTCCGCAACGTATACGGAGCAGGGTTGCTGCAAATTATAGGAGCTGCTATGAAGTTCACTAAATACACCAATCCCAGTGGAAGCATTTATAGTTGACCCATCTGTGAAAAAGCGATTATAGTTACTAATATGGTGGTTCTTAATTGCATAAAATGAAGCAATCTGATATTTCATGGATTTCTTGCAACATGGTCAAATCAAAGTTTACAGAGGAACTGTAAACGTCTTGGAAGTAGACACGATTGGGATTGAATGAAGAAGGATCAACCTCCAGTGTCATGTACTCCTAGTACAGACTCATAAATCTTGTTTGAGGATTTCTGTCAAGATATGTTTCCATCAACGAAAAATATTTTTTTTTAATCGCGCTCCTCCGATTTGCATGAAACTTAGCGTAATTGTTTGTGCACATGATGCAATGATTCACACTTTTGCTAAAATTCGGCCATTTTTCACAGATAAAAATAAAACAGCACTTGACAACACAATATTTGATGAAATAATTAATTTGGGTCATTTTGAAAATATGATTTTTTATCACACTCAAGTTTCGTAAACAAGCCTGACTTAACACTGTTTCATATCAACACTTCTACCTTTTTCAGAGAAAGGAATTTTTTCATCGGATCCGATTTTTCAAAAACAAAATATGATGGATGTACAATGTTCACAACAAGCTACAGCATTTCATCAGCCCAACAATTGTAAAATTTCCCTTGAAGCAGATAATTAAACAAATTCGAACGTCACGATTTCCCCATTAGACACCATGGACCTTACCGTAGGTGACGCTCCACTGCGGCGGCGGTCGGAACTCCGGGTATTGTTTCGGAAACAGCTTCTTGCTCCAGTTGGTCACCAGCCGGATCCGGTAGAAGACGAGCGCTTCCGAGTCCGAGCAGCTTTCACTTTGGAAATCCGCCCCATCGGCCACGCAATCCATTAGCAGGAAGGGTAGCAGCAGTAGCAGCAGAACTAGTTTCGTTTCCATCATTTCAGTGTAATCTATTTTTCCGATTTTTTTTTTCTTCTTCTTTCAGTCTTCGCGAGCACATGCACTTTTCACACCGTCGCGGCGGAATGGAACCGTTGGAATTTCTTTAACCCGAGTGCGTTGCTCGTCGACGTTGGACGTCGTCACTGGGTCCGAAAGGGTGTGTCCTCGGAACAATTTCCAACCCGTCAATCAAATCGTCTAGACGAATCAATCACCGGCTGAGTGTGTCTAGTCGCGGAGAAAGGCACCGTTATTGAAAAACCGAAAGCACCGAAAAAGGGAAAATTTAATATCGTACTTGGGAAAAACCCTACGGTTCGAATCACACACGAGTTTCTGCTGCGTCTTCACATTTAGCCGAGCGGATTTAAAGTTCTACCACACCGGACGAAATCTCACCGATGACTGAGTCATCTGCCTCCGACCGAATGGAATGATTTTCAAAGTGGTGCGAAGAAACAGAAATATATTCCGCGAATGCGACTATCAATATCGCGGCAAGTCCGTCCACGCGTGTTCGCGGGGATCGTTGAATAAATGTGAATATACGAGCCGGTCACGAACAATGCGGTGGACATCCAAGGCAAAGAGCTACCATGTGCATGATACAGAAAACCATCTGTTGTTGCGCTTAGATTAGCTGCTAGTAAGCGAACGGGAGGCGGGCTGTCTAGAGTTGGTCCTACCAAATTTGCAAAATCAAGTGCAGAAGATTGAGACAAGGGGTACGTCAATTGTGATTGCATGATTTCTCTCAACACTGCTACGCAATTTGTGGAGCTTCACCAGCCTTAGATATATGAAATCGAAGTACCTAACCACCATCCACTAGCCCCTAGGTCAGTGAAATCACTCATGACCTCGACGCCTATCCTTTTCTCCATTCAAATGAACTGCCTGTTTTTGAACCGCAAGCACTTTGCACTGCTTCACTATGACGTGCCGCTCCTAGCGATCTTCGTATATACAGGTACCATGGTTATGGTGACTCGTCGTCGTTTAGGAAGCCATCAAAGCCATGATTGATCGATTGAGCACAAAGTGGGCTTGGCTTTGTTTGATGCTGCTACCGCAAAGATGCTATCTAGATGTTCGTGATCTGCGTATCTAAAATATCACACAGTCGTCATCGTCGTCGTTGGACAGGCACAAGTGGGCCAAAATCAACGACCAGGCACAAGTGTGAATGTTTAAATTTACAACCTCATTGAAATTTTGAAAATTCTCACTCGTGTGTAGGTTTCTGTAACTAGAAGTGTTTATTTATTTAATTGAATATCCGATTCCACGTATTTTATGGGACAGCGAGCTGTCAAAATAGTTATTAAGATGTGATATAAATTCATTGATGATAGTCGGTTTGAATAGTTTCCTAAATGATGCCATAAATTTTCGAGCCTAAAACGCAAAATTTTCTGATTTCAACTCAGATGACCAGTACCAGGACAAATAGGATAAAAAAATAAGGCTCGACCTTCTCCGATTTGCATGAAACTTTGCACAGCTATGTGTTATGGAAAATCATTCACATATTTGCGAAAAATCGGCCATTTTGAATCTTGTATTTGTTTCAAAATGGAATCTTTGACATTTTTTATAAACTTACATTGTCCAATAAGCTAACACTTTTTCAATAAACAATAAACACTAAAACGTCACTTATTATCGAAATGACGTATGAGACAAAGTTGTTCAGAAACTAAGTAATTCTGGGAAAATATACACGTTACTTCTTTTTTTTTGTAATTTTGAGTGAAAATTCAAAAAATATTAAAAATTGAAATATCTAAAAAAAACTAGATCTTCAATATTAATAATTTATTTTTAAATAAAGCCCATTAAAATGCAAACTTTAGAAGTACTTAAGGACAGGGACACTTGGAAATTGACAAAAATCGTAGAACATCAACTTTTAGCCATATTTTTAAACTCCTTGCTAACTAGCTTTTGTATGTAATGTTTGGACACGATTTAGAATGTTTCAAATATTGTTTACATAAAAAAGCTTAACAGCAAAAAGTTCAAATATTTGACCAAAAGTACTTGTTCAACGATGTTCGCCTATTTTCAAGTGTACACGGTTAAATATTCCAAATGTTTACGTTTTGTATGAACTTAAAAAAAATATTTCACTCAAAATTACTATGTAAACAAAAATATGTACAATGTATATTTAAGCATGAGCATAAGCATGATTGATTGCCCGAGGATGCAACTCCGTTATTACCAGATCAGCTGTAATTACACAGAGAACCAATGGACGTTGCTTGGGACTAGCAATCATCCTCAATGTGTAAATACTGATGATCTAAAACTAGACAATACCAGCACCAGTCAAGAAAGGAATGGGTATGAATATGTTGATGAAATACTCGCTTTTCTGAAATCCAAGAACTCCTCCGCTCTTCCACGATAAATCACTCGGATGTTGAAAAAAATTGTTGGGATTGCAGCATGATTCGTTTTGGTAAACGATTCGCTGAATTAATGTCCCAATGATTCAATAGCGCAAAGGAGCTTGCGTTTGAACCCACGGTCTTCTGCTCAGTAAGCAAAATCGGTCGCCACTAGCCCACGGGGCTCTTATATCATAAAACAATTACGATCAAGTTTCCGTTCAACTTGTTGACACTAGATTTAGATTCTGGCGACTATAATAACAACTACTCTTGAGAAGGATTTGTTATAGATTTCCGATCAACATGTTTTTCCCAAAAATCGAATATTATTTCTTTTACGAACTCATTATTCCAACCGAATTTCAATACGCTTTATATTATACAAAAATCCAATTTACACTATAACTCTATAATGTCAACGAGCTTGAGATTGATTCTACGTCGTCTGCACGTCAAATCACAGAAGCTTGTAGAGATACACCTAGTGGGGTCTGTTCTCTGAGAGGCTTTGCGATCACGTCGAATCAGGTGGACTCCGCAATAAACAAATTGAAATATTCTGTGTCCAGTCCAGATGGCATACCGTCATACCGCATCCTAAAAAAATGCGGCGAAGAGTTGATTTTCCCTCTTACGACACTTTTCAACATATCATTACGGAAGCGTAGTTTTTCCACAAGCTGGAAAACATCGGTCATGTTCCCCGTGTTTAAAAAGGGAGATCGACAGAACATCGAGAATTACAGAGGAATAACTTCGTTGTGTGCTTGTTCGAAGGATTTCTAAATCATAATAAATGATGTACTTTTCGACTCCTGCAAGAATTATATTTCTACGGATCAGCACGGTTTCTACCCCAAAAGATCAACATCTACCAATCTCGTCCAGTTTACTTCGTTTTCCATACGCAACATTGATGCTGGTGCTCAGATCGACGCCGCATACACTGATTTGAAATCAGCTTTCGATAGAGTTGACCACGGAATATTACTGAAACGTCTAGGAAGAATTGGTGTCTCTGCGGATCTTGTTAGCTGGTTTGGATCATACCTTACGGATCGTAGCCTCACCATTAATATCGGATTTGAATCTTCGGAACAATTTTCAAACTTATCTGGCGTGCCACAGGGTAGCAACCTGGGTCCTTTGTTATTCTCACTCTTCATCAACGAGCTTTCTCTCGTACTACCATCTGGCTGCCGTGTGTTTTACGCTGATGACGTCAAAATATACATGATCATTAAAGGTATCGAGGACTGCTATGCTCTACAATTGCTGCTGAATAGTTTTGCTGATTGGTGCACCCGGAACATGCTGACGTTGAGCATCCACAAATGTAACGTTATATCGTTTCATCGCAAGCTCAACCCGATTACGTATTATTATTCAATTAATGGTCAGTCCCTTGAGCGTTGTCTTCAAGTTCGTGATCTTGGTGTCATCCTGGATTCAGCGCTGACCTTCCGATCGCACTACAACGATATTATATGTAGAGCCAACAGACAGCTGGGATTTATGTTCAAAATATCCTGCGAATTTACCGATCCTCTCTGACTCCGGTCTCTGTACTGCGCACTGGTGCGATCGATTCTGGAATCCAACTCTGTTGTATGGTGCCCGTACCAGTCAACCTGGACTGGTAGGATCGAAGCAATTCAGAGAAAATGTGTGAGATATGCCCTACGACGCCTTCCGTGGCGAGATCCGTTATACCTACCACAATATGTAGATCGATGCAGATTATTGGGACTGCTCAAGCGGTGTTTGTAGCTAAACTTCTCACAGGAGAAACTGACGCACCGGAGTTACTAGGTCAACTTAACCTTTACGTTCCTGAACGATTACTTCGCCAACGGAGCTTTTTGCTGCTTGAGCCCAGCAAATCCTTGTACGGCCTTCATGATTCTGTCCGCTTTATGTCGACTAGGTTCAACGAAGTCTACACCCTCTTCGACTTCAACTCTACTGTGGTAACATTTAAGCGTAGACTGACTGAATTGCATTAATGGATCGAGCGCGATTCGTTATTGTGAAAGGTGAGTAATATTCCATTGCTCCTAAATTGTAACGATTATGCTACCTGTATCCTTTTTTTTTGTTTTCTCAATTCACCACTGCCGACGAGGATTGCTTTGGATGATGGATGTCCAATGGAGCTGATAGAATTATAATTTTTTTTTATGTTTTTGACTACAGTTGATATTTGAAGCCATTTTCACTTTATGTTGTGTTCACGGATGTGCTTGTTTTGTAATGTTTGTACTGTATTGTGAAAAGATATGGGGTTTTTACGCCATTTAAATTGGCTTTTCCCCATCACATTCATTAAGACGACAAAAAGTCAGATGAATAAATAAATAAATAATAAATAAATAAATAAATCCCATGATTCTCTGCTCAGTAATCAAAATCAGTCACCACAATGCCACCGAGCTCCTTATGTCGCACAACAATTCTAGAGAGAGCTGGAATTAGGGCGTAACAGGCTTTGTAAACAATGACTTCTCTCGTTGATTTCTAGGAATTCAAGGCATGCCTACTCAAACCAACATATCCATCGAGTAGGGGAAGTCTTCCCCTACTCGACGGTGATGTCGATTTGCCAGGGAGAGCCATGACTTTCGAGAAATCCTCGAGAGAAGTCA